CATTTGTCGTCGATTATCTGTATGTTCTCCTCTTCGTCGTCGGAGCCGAACGGATCGGTTAATTGTCGGCGTGTCATAAGTATCGGACGTTGCTGCGCTTGTTGTACTCTCGGCGGAGACTTGCTCTGCGGTAAATTGGTATTTCATTTCCTCACAAAAAAATTTGCGCGCAAATTCCGTCGGATATTATACGCGACGTTTTTCTAGACAATTCTCGGGAATAATCGCAACGTCGAAATTGACTCGAACTCAGTACGTGTAGTTTCTACATACCTTCTCTCTCGATGAATATTTTTCTTTGGTCGGCGATAACACCTTGCCCAGAATGCTCTTTGAGCTGGCTAATATAATGTCCTTGACCTCCTTCACGCTGGATGGCGATTTGTCTTTGTTACATTGATCGTGATCCTGATTATCCGTGTTTAGGCTCAAATGCAGCTTGTTTTTTAACGAATCGATGCATATGTCATCCTTCTTGTTATCAAACGGATTCGACCTACGAGAGTAAATCACAATTTCTAATCTTGCTTTTGATAAATTGTTGTAGAAATGTAGTTTGGATTGATAATTTGATAGATTACAAAATGTCATTGAGAATATATTTACCGTCTGTTATTTTCCGCTTTATTGTTTTTTTGCTCGATCTGTTCCTTCTTCCGTAAATTAATAATCTCTTGACCAAACAATTGAACACTCACGTCAGTATTGTTGTCTGTATTAAATCTGCCGATCATGTAAGAGGACTCGTCCGTTGTTTTACCTATTTGATGTACCTAAATTTTGGTAAAACGATAATATATTATGTTATTTAATTATATGCTATCTATAATATTATGCAAAAGGAAAAAATGATTACAATAATTGGATAAAGCTATTACATAAAAAAAATTTCGTTGAAATACCTCTAATTCGTGGCCAGTAAAATGCGCTCTCAATTGATATAAATAAGTCATCACAGCTAATTTATCAGGTACCGTTAATATATCCATGTCAGCCGGTTCAATAACTCTGGGTATGCCCAGAGTTTCACCCGCGTCGAACGCTTTCTTACAGTTGCCTTTTACATCGTGCGGCAATAGGGAATCGATGTCTCTGTAAGTTTTTATTTCGTATATTATTCAATTTGATCAGGAAACTCGCAATCAAACGTCTGTTGTATATGCGGCTATAAATACACAAATGCGTCGACCTTTCCAGTATCAAAAATAATCGTCAAAGTGTTGGCACGAGTTGGTTCGACGTAAGACAATGGCGATTTCAAAGTGTTTATTAATGGAATACACGAATAAAATAACTGGCATATCGCCAAGAATGTCTATTGACATTTTATTCCCAGAAAAAGTAGCGCGAAAAATAAAACACTTTAATATAATTACGACATTCGATCAACCTTGTAAGAGCACTTACATCAGATCAGGTCTGAAATGATGAATAATTGCACAAAACGCCATTCCGTTTCTCCAAGATGTCGTCAGATTAGTGACTTTGACACCGGGATGATCCTTTGTAACTTCTTTGCACCATTCCAATAAATCTTGGCCGGGAGTAATCTCTTTCAGTCTTGGAACATTTGCGTCATTCTTTTTAAGATCCAATGGTTGCAGTGGCAATCTCAATGTGCTGTGTTCAATGTTTTTGCTACAAAGATATTGAATTCGCAATTACATTATTTAGAATAATAACAAAGTAATCATTCTTCTGTTTCTTGTAAATAAAAAAAAAGTAACTTTTTGCATAGTAAACTATTTGTGAAAATAATGTTTAAAGTTATTGTACCAATTATGTCATTCTAATATCGTATTTCACACACGTACGCTATTTTGTAAAATATAATACTGTTATTGTACATACTCATTTTCAACGGCAACATTGTCTTTTATGGGTGACTTTTCTTTTAAAGAGTCTCCAATTCCTGTTAGACTAATGTCGCGTATAAAATGCTCGCCATCATTTACAGGAGTTGTATCATCTTTCGATAAACTTGCCACTATTGTATACACATTATATATTCTATTAGTAAATTTGATTCCATAAATTATAATAAAATTAATAAAGCAACAAGTTAGAGAATTAAGATAGCAATTACATATTTTATATTCGATGCATATACTTGTGGATACAGTTTCAATAAAATTAAATAAAAAGCAAGCATCAACACTCACCACTTATAGGAGTACTGGGTAATTCACTTTCAGTAAGACTGCTCGTCATTAGATCAAGTTGAGCGGAGATATCTAAAAATTCGTCCAAATTTTTTACCGACACTTCTTCAACATCTTCAGGTATATCTTCATTATCAAAATCATCTAATGGCGCAATGTCGCTGTTATTATTAACTGACATTAAACTAGCCATACTTTGCATATCTTCATCCCTAGAAAAATAAAGACAATTATTCAATAAGTATTTATCAACGAATTCAAATATACTATAATAAACTGGCACATTTCAATAATATTTTCAGATTAAAATAATCTATTGACAGATTCAGCATGCTGCCTCTAAAATGCATTACTTAATATTTATCCTATTTAAAATACATTTAGCTACATAAAGGACAAGTTATTACCTAGCTTATGAAATTAATTAGCAGTATGTCAATGAAATTAAACTGCACACTTACGTTGCCTTGCCCTCTCGTAGAAATACACATGACAAAGTACATTCTAGCGTAGCGCTAACAATCTTTTTAGAAGTTGGCTTCAAGTCCAATTTAAGTTGTTGCTGACTAGATTCTAAAGTTGCATATTTTTTCATATTTATGTTAGTGGCAGCCACATGACGTCTCTTTCCCGTCGACGACACCTGCTCGAGAGTAGAACAATATACCATTGTGCTACGTCCTTCTGCGAATATATCAATGCTGTACTCACATCTTCGATAACAAATGTCCAATCTTTATCTTCCAGCTCATGTGTCCGTGGATCTTTAAATAGTGTTACGGAAACTGTGTGATTGTCAGGAACTGCCCAGCTAATGACACCCTTCAAAGGATCACTCAAACATGGTTCCCAGTCTAAGGGTTCTGAACTGACTCTTCTACTACGTCTTGTCCAAACAACGCTTAATTTGTTTGGCTTCCTAGAAAATGTTATTATCTTTGTACATCTATTCTCTACTAGAGCACATATATGCTAATATAATATTTCTACAAAATTATGTTTTTAATCTTATAAATTACAATTATTTCACATACATATTTTAAAATGTGCACATATAATTAAAAGATATCATAAATCTAAATTGTGCCATAAATATATTTTCTAAAACACAACACAATACATAATATATAAAAATCTAAACGCAAGACAGTAATTTACATTTGCATATATATCATTTAATTTTTTTTCCCAAAATATTTATTCCAAGAGAAAAAAATGTCCATCACTTTAAACTGTGTAAAACACAACAACTGCTCCTGTTTTCAAGAGCAGACGACAGTTACGCAGAGATTTTCGTATAAACAAAAAAAATATTAGTTCCTGTTCGAACGATAGATTTCAGAACACTTGAGAAAGCCGCGGCGAAAGGAAGCTCTCGTTCGGCCAGGAATAAATCGGCGTCACTCACCACTTTGTCGTTGTCTCTAACGTGACCTCGTGGTAAGAAACGGTGAACTGAAACTTGGCCGCTCTCTTGTTCACCCGTTGCAAGCGTTTCCAGACGGAACTCATGTTTGCAGCTGCGCTCCGCTTCTTTTCGCTCGGAACTTCTTCGTTCGGGATTTACTCGTCCGCGAACGAATTCTCTTCCTCACTGCTGACGCGCGAGCGAGGCGCGCTTTGTCATTTCCGCGAGGACCGCGAGTCGCACGCGCGATCGGATCGTGGACTAAGGTCGGCCGCGGCGAGGTATGGGAGGCGAACGATCACGCTTCCCGGAAATCGACGATGTTCACGTTTCACGACACACGTCCTCGGCGGGGCTACGATCATATGTTCGGATGGACGGAAGGATGAGTCTTCCTCTCGACTCACCACAGCTCACCACGGCTCACGCGCGCTCTCAACGTTCCTGGAAGAAACCGACTGTCATTGCCCACGCGTGTACGTTCATACACAATACGCACGAACACACGCACGCACCACGCATACGCGTCGAAAGTCGAAATACGTCAAGACAGCTGACGAGCTGACCTCGGACTTACGAAAGTTCTCACTGGTTCTTCTCACTCTCACCGGATCGCTTATAAATCGCGTTCCCTTTGGATGAGAAGTCAAGCGGGAGTGAGAGACACGAAATACTCGAATACTGACAGTGACTGATGAGCTCCTCTCTTGCAAAAGAGGAGATCGTTGTTAGCGTTGTCCGTCAGGTCTATCTTCGAAATTCGTATTTGTCGGTCTTGTAGAAACTCGCGTGGCTTTGAAAAATTCACGCGCTAAAACACGAAAACATCGGCTGCGTTCAGCAAAAAAAGTTATTTTGCAATTGTAAAATTCTTTAATATTATTGATTCTTGCCGGTAGTTCCTTTCTGGATTTAAATGTATAACCAATCATATTAAAGAATTTTATAACAATCTTGCAAATTTGTTTTTCTTTGCTGAATGTAGCCATTGCGGTGAAAGTGAGAGGCAGGAAAAATTTGATTAGACCATGGACGATAATGATAGAATTATCGATATTTCGAAAATTTTTAATTTTTCTATTTTATTCATAATAAATTTCTATATAACATGTTTACGTATAACTATTATTATAAATATTTTTAAAAATATAAAAAATTACTTAATAATCTTCGCTTTTACACTGCATATTTCACATAGCAAATAGCGTTTAATTAATATTTGAGGTAAGTGTAAAATATTGAATAACCAATTGCATCGTATAATGCATGCGAAAGATTTGAAAGAAAAAAAAAGTTATTATTTATAGAATTTTTTACAAAATAAAAATCACTAAATATTTATATTTATACAATATTTATTTCAACTATTTTTTGCTTCTTTTTACTTATACATATAAATAATATTTCTGTAAAAATTAGTCCAAATGCATTTATAATTCGTCTCTATCTATGTCAAAATTTGAATCATAATTATCATTATCTACTTCATTATCATTATAATCGTCGTCTTCCTCATCGGCATAATTTTCATTGCAAATGTTTGAGATCTTTGTGCAAAGTTCTTTTTTCTTATTGGATATGCCGTCAACGTACAATGACACTATATCTTCTTCAAATTCTTCCACTACAGCGCTGCACTAAAAACGATTAATCCAAATTAATGACGAAAGCACTTTCAGTAAATATAAAACATAATAAACAGCACTCACATAATGCTCGAGGCTCTTATTTAAATCACCATCTTGAATTATATCTACTTCACTCATAATAGGATTCATACCACCTGATGGAGACATAAGATTAAAGATCATTAATTGATTATCAGACTTCCTCGTTGCTCTCACATAATCCGACAGTTTTTCACAAATATTGTCCAGCAAAATCGAAATATGTGTTTCAGATCGACCTAACGGCACCTTAAAATAATAAATATCGAATTTTATATTAAAAACCTATACAACACAATTCTCCAAAAAATATCCAGAGGAAAATTCTGTTGTGTAGGAAAATTGAACATATGAAACTAAGGAATGGATTTATAAGTGCATAAAAGCAGCAAAAATATTCTTAATAAATTTAATACTAATGATTTATCCTTTCTTGATATTTTTTTTGTCTTTTTACCTTTTTATATATAGTATTCCCATCAGCATCCATTCTAAAATTACCTACGTTAACTAATTTATTTGGATTAGCTTTGAGAACCTCATTTTCCAATTCATTCATAGCTGCCCTACAAACTATAGAGCATAAAAGTTATTCTTATTATAATTTATGATAATTATTAAAATAGAATTATCATAGAGATTAACATTGATTTTCACCTAAACATTTCAAATGCTTTAGATCGACCTCTTTAGGTTCCACTGCAACAATTATAAAAAATAGACCCAAAAATAGTAAAGTTTTCATCTGTAAATGTAAATTTCCAATTGTATGAAATCTTTCACGAGAAGTAAACATGTTTATACTGTGCAACTTTTCTTACATAAAGAATTTCAAATAGAATATCTTACCTTGTGCATTGAGAATTGAATAGGTTACAAGAATTGTTTAGTTATATTTTTTCCACAATAATATATCTAAAACTTTTAATACCGCAGCACGCGACACGTGTAATGTACATCTTCTAGTTTCGCGTTTGATGATGTGTAAAATACTTATCGTAATTTTTGTATAAACGAATGACAGTTCGCAACGTGTAATTCCGGTAATGCCAACTGTTTAACCTTAAATGGTTTTATTAAAAATTATTTTTTCGTCGAAATAATCGAAATAATAAATATAATACTTGCAATTCAATCCTAATAATATAGTAGACAATATTTATTAATGTTATTATTATACAAAGATACAAAAACAATATTTCAAAGTGCTAACAGTATATATATATATATATATATACACATACACAACTTAACCTTACCTCAATTTCGCTTCTATGTGATTAGTAGTCGTTTTCTGAAAAATGAATCGATTGTTGAGAATCGAGTTGTATCGAGTTCTCGTTATTATTGAACTTTGAAGAAAAAAAAACGCGAAAAGCATACATTATTATTTCAAAGAAAGAAAAATATATAATGTGGCACACAAAAGTGGATAATTTTTTTTTATTCTACTCATTCGTCTATTATATAATTATTGCTAACCATTTCGTTTCCTTTGTTGAACAGCTTTTTGTTGTCTATCTCGATTTCCAAATGGGATTCATATGCAGAAACATGTCATTAACTCGGAAGGCGCATCCTGATCATTTTGACCGAAATGTATTTTCGCACATATATGTATTATAACTAAAATATATATATGATTATTACTATAAATAATAATTAAGAAAACTTTCTCTGATAATGTTTTATTAATCTTAATTAAAAACAAAGGAACGTAATAATTACTGGAAATAATTGTATTTATATGATATATCTTTATTCTAATTTTATCTTTTTTCATTTGTTAAAATTATTAATATGTAACGAAATAATATGAGAAAATTATAATTTTTTTTTTATAAAAATATAATAATGGCGCAGACTGGCGAAGACGACAAACACTAAAGTAAGTACGCGCGTTACGATCTTTTAGACCGACCGTTTACAACATATCAAATTTTATGTAAATAAGCGTGTTTACGTCTATTTCGCAAACTATACAAAAAAACATTAACATTTACGTAAGGGTAAAAATATAATAGTGCCAATAAATTGAAACATATAAATACAGGATCCGGCAAAATGATCTCCCACATTTTACACCGCCAATGTCCCCGAACCACTGAAGAGAGGGGGAGCTTAGCGTAGTCGGTTGGTAGCTCGCGCCTTGCCATTTCAGTTGTCGTCATGAATTGGACGGGCGAGCATTGTGCCTTCGTTATCGAAACATTTATGAAAAGTAACGAATCTGTGATTACGACGCAAAGAACTTTTCGTACTCACTTCGCGCTTTTTCCTTTGGGGCTACCTGAAAGCGAAGGTTTTTCAACACCACCCCCGAACCATTGACGAATTGAAAGCAGCAATACGCCAAGAAATTACAGGAATATCGCCTCAAATTATTGCTCGAGTGATGGAAACTTTTAGAAATCAGCTTCGAATGTGTATCGAAAAAAATGGTCGCCACTTGGACTCTGTAATTTTCAAAACTCAATAAAAACAAATGGCATAGCATAAATTTTCAGTTAATAAAAATAAAATCTAAATAGCATTTACAATGGCGTTTTTATTAAAGATTAAAATGTGGGAGATCATTTTGCCGGACCCTGTAGAAAACGAAAGTACGGCAAAATGACCAGTACGCGATCACTCTTGGGTTAAACGTAATTGATTGGTTCTACAAATGAGAATCAATCATATTCAATCGCTTAGCGACTCGATTGGGTGCATTCAGTACCTCTCACTGAGCGCTTAGTGATTAACTCTTGCATCTGATTAGCATATTCCGTTAAATCTAAACTTAATTACATTTAGCGAAAATTACATTAAAATTTATTAAAAGCAGTTCGTCACTTCAGGATAGATTTTAAAATCTGTGCGAAAGTCATAAAGAAGACTTAATCTGTTTGTATAAATATTATTTGTAATACATTGCAAAGATATTTAAAAAACAATTTATTTGCAAAGATACAAGAACGATTTTCTATTTTCTATAATCTCATTCATTTATAATTCTAAAATACTTTTGCAGTTTAATCGTTTTCCTTTATAAACTATAACTAATTAGCTATGTCGGATAGCAGTCTATGCATTAAAAATGTATTATGCATTTGGCAATTCATTAGAAATGTGATTGTTTTTATTGTACACGTATATAATGTGCATATAGTGAATTCGCGCTTGATTTCGAATTAATCTAATAGACTGATATAGTTTAGCTTATATTTAAATCATTGCTATAAAAAGCACAAATATTTAATACAGCTTATATGAAAAGGCACGTTTTTTTAATTGTGATAAAATGAATTTGAATAGAGTTAATGATCGCGATTCCATCTCCAGATTGTCGCGTCGTCGCAAACGCATAATAACACGGAGCCATCCCGGCTTAGGCTAGTTTGGCGAATCGGTACGGTGCAACGGGGATGCTGAAGAGACCAGCAGCGTGCTTGCCCAGGTTCATCTACGTCCAAATCCCAAACATAAGTTCGACCGACCTGATTACCTAACGCGATCGTACGCTGCCAGAAATCCATTGAGAAACGTATAAACCAAATGTCGCACTCCTTAAACTCGAAACGGTGTAAAACCGTCGCGCTCGTTTCTCCATTGCGCAACTGCGAGTCCTCGAGTCTACCCGGCTTCCAGCATACAATACAGTTTTCACAGGATTTGCTCAGGATAAAGTCACCGAACCACTTCACGCAGTCCACATAATTTCGATGAACATCACGAGTGGTAAAGTCTGGAAAATGTTGCAGTATTGAATCAAAAGGCCTGCCATTGCGAGTGGGATTGCAATGATAGGACTGTTTTATCGCGTCCTGCATGTCTGGCTTCTCCAAAGACCACAACTTAAGAGCATGATCCATTCCACACGAGATGATTCTTTGGCCCTTTATGTCGAAATCAGCACTCAAAACTTCATCCCTGTGGCCCTCCACGCCACCGAAGATCGCGATACACACATCCGTTTTGATGTTCCATAATCTTAGAGCGTGATCTTTCGATGCTGATAATAGAATGTTCGGATCTCTCGGATGAATCTTTAGCTCATTTATTGCATGCCCATGACCAATGTAATGCTTGATACAAGTCATTGTCGCAGGACTTATAACTCGGATAACTCCACGGGATCCCGCTACAGCTAGCAAAGGTTTCCCAGAGTCATCGTATGTCCATGCACATGTGTAAAAGTTCTCCTCTGTGTCTGGATCGGCGTAACATTGTTGTAGCTGTATATTTCCGCTCTGCTGACACTCGTAGATGCTTACGCGATTGCTACCCACAGAAGCAAATATCAACGGTTCGCCTTCCTTCAAATGATAATTGAATTGTACACCAAATAAAGGCTGCCCGTGATCTTCCTTGACACTACAGCAAAATTTGTACATTGGTTTGTCCGTACAAGGTTTGTACTTTGCTGTCTTACTTCTGCGACGACCTTTTCGTTTATAACGGGCGCTACGAGTGGGCGTGTCGCTGCGATGAGTACCGGCAGTAGAATTGCTTCCAATGCTGCATTCTGTCACATCACTGTCATTTTCGCTGTCCTCTTGGCTGGAAGCGTATGCCTTACCACTTGATTTTTTCATCTTGATATTGATCTTAATGATTTAAATCTCAATATTATTGACAATTAATGATATTTTAATGTATAGTTTTTGAGAAAAAATATATGTGAATTACTAGCAAATCACCTTATATAGCACCTCACTTTCTGTAATCTAGTTCTATTGTCCAACAGTTCCAATAACTGGTACACCACTGTTTAATCCCAATATCCCTTCTGTTATATTTAGAATTCTGCTTCCTAAAGAGACACAGGCTTGCATATTCTAAAATAAAAAGTATTTTGAAATATATAAATTAGAATTTGTAGAATTTGTGTATATGTATGTATGTATGTGTGTGTGTGTGTGTGTGTGTGTGTGTATAGTTTTGAATATAAACTTACAGAAATATTAGCAGAGAGAAAACGAATATTATAATCGTGACAAAGTTTCTTTGACTTATGGATCAATCCCATAACATTGGATATTCCATTGCAATTTACTACGCAAACTGCACCAGACAGTACGTAATATTCATCTATCCTGGCTATGTTAGCTTCTATCTAAAACATTATTAATAATAATAAATAGAGATCAATAATCATTAATTAATAATAATTAATAAATAACTAAAGATAATGAGTCATTTAATATGATAAAAATTATTTGCAGACTTACTTCTAACAAAGTATGTGAAGCTCTTAAGTCAAAAGGAAAAATGATAAAATCCACAGAAATATCTATCCTCGTTTTCACATCTGTAATAGATTCACACTGATGAATAGATATCTGCCACTTCCTTTCTTTTGCACTTAGATATAAGCCCTCTGATATCTTCTGGCATAATTCAGCTGATCCTACTATCTGGAAAGAGATATTTTAAATATAATAAATATATTTACTATAACAGTTACATATTTAACACTGCTGATATACACAACATCCAGTAAATTGTGATATAAATTGCACAAGAAGATAATTTTCTTTGTCTACACTTTTTACTTATTTTATTAGTTTGCTTGTTGATATAATAAAAAAAAAATAAATACCATGTACTTACAAAATAACAAAACAAATTAAAATTGAATTATGTTCTCATAGGATATCACTATCAGACATATACATATACATATTATATAGATATACATATCATACAGATTATATTCAATTCCATCATGATTATATCTTAATACACCAGGAAATCAAAGCTACATGCATTTACATTTTATTGATTATGATTAACAAAAAGTAAATTACAAATAACAAATTGGCAAATTATAAATAACAGGCACAGAGGCAAGGACGTCAGCAAAAAAAAAACAGCTTTGCAATTATTGTAAAATTCTTGAATATGATTGGTTTATACAGATCCAATTCATTTTACAGTAGTTGCAAAGCTGCTTTTTCTTCTTTAAGGTGATTCTTTAATAAAGTGCCAAAAATTTGAGATGCCTCATCCAAAATTACATCTGCACAATTTGGATAAAACATTAAAACTATGTGTATATCTTAATAAAATAGTATGGAACATACGATAGTAATTAAATCAAGAGGCTTACTAGCTACATCTTTATAAAAACAAGATGAGATTATATTTATTTTTCGAGATTAAATGCAAGTTTAAGCATATAAATATCTTTCCAGATTAGCCATTGACTCATTATTTTTTTACGACCATTAAAATCATAATTTTTTAAACTATTATAATCTCATTTTTGAGAAAAGTCTATGATAACATTTATGTACAATTAATCAAAGAATTGTCTGCAAGCCTTATCTGTCACTAAGTTATACATGAAAGGATACAATTTCAACTTTTTTTCTCTCTTATTTCATCATTAACCTACTGTAGAATTTTGCACACAGTAATTTCAATACAACTTCATTATATAAAAAAAAAGAACATTTCTATGGTAATTCGATTTACTAAAGAACCATCTTAAGGTTGAAAGTCCACAAAAAAATCTTACGTAGCATCCTAAGACCACGGTTATCACTTTTTTCCTAAAAATACGCGAAATATACAAGAATGTGAATAAAACTTTCTTTTTTCTTTTACCGTCACAGACGCACCATAAAAGCAATTAGACACTCGCCTCCCCGAAATGTGCCATTTTTAAAGATTTCGGCCATGACTGTTGACGGCTAAAGGCTTGTTCTTTCTGTAGTACTGCACTGAACTGCACTGAAGTCTTCTATCACGTTTTCGCCAAACTGCAAATATATATATCTATTTCAGTTTAAGTACGAGAAGTACAATATATACCAATCCAATTGCCAGAAAGAATAGACACATATGTTGAGCCGGTTTCACCAACTCCGATGTTAAATTTCAATATTGCCAACTGCAAAACTGAAAAAATAACCTAATTTTCTGGTAGCTGTGAAGAACGATATGATAATAGATTTGTTTGCGTTATTTGAAATTTCTAAAAATGTTTACACTTAAAACGAAAAAATATATAATCAGACGTTTAAAAGAGAAAAAGCAAAGGCACTGAGTGCAAAAAGTGCAAGCAACGCGAACAGATCTATTAAGGTGCCTTTTCATGCTGACGCTTATTTAAAAGGTGCCTTTTCATACTCGGCGCTCATTTTCAGCGTCAAAATAAGCGCTTTGACACAGAGCGCTGATTGATGAAAAGCCGGTTGTAAAAGTAAAATTCACCCTTATCGTTTTTTAATCAGCGCTCGGTGTCAGAGCGCTGTTGTCCATATGGGCCATGAGAATTTGGGCTTAGTGTTAAGATAGATTACGTGATAAAAATTGACGAATCAAGTGTCAAGCAACAAGTAGCAGAAGTAGTAACTAATCAACGAGGCGATAAATGCAGTGGTATAAAGCCAGTTCTACATTAATTGCAAGCTGATCTCAAGTTTGTTGCGACAGCCAATATAAAGCGTTGATTTCAAAAACGCAAGCTTCAGATTGGCTGTCGCAACAAACTTGCGATCAGCTTGCAACTAATACAGAACCGTTAATTCGGTTAAATAAATATTGTTTACACCACTGCCAGTATTGCTCCACTGATTGATTGTTGCTTCCGCTGCTTGACGCTTGATGCTTGCATCTGAATTCACCTTTAAAAACTCTCTCTGGCATTTCACTTAACTCTCGCAACGCTTAGCATTATTTGTCCTTAGGTTTGATCGCGTCGCAACATAATCTAATGTGCTCTATAATACAATAGCTCCTACTCATTTCAATGCTCATTAGAATGAGTAAGAACTATGATAGGAGCATGGGTTATGTTGGAGCATATGACGCAAACAAACTTCTTGTTTAACATTTGGGCTGCGTTCCATTTAACGTTCGCAATGCTCACGAGCATCGTCCTTGTTTAACATTGATAAACATTTGATAAATGACAAGGATGAAATAATACCACGAGCGTTGTAAGCGTTAAATGGAACGCAACCTTGAACAACAAGGGTCTAATTTCCACCGAGGATTTAAACCGGATCAGAATGTAAGAATCAATTACAGTCAAACCTTCGGGAGAAACTAAGTTCTTAAGGATGAAATGATTCCACGAGAGTTATGAGCATTAAATGGAACGCAGGGAGTATATGGCAATTGCATAGCCAATCACAGTGCTTAACAAAAAAATTAGAAAAAAAACTTTCTAGACAGAATTCGCTGTGATTGGCAGTGGACAATTGCACCACTCTCGAACGCAGCCTTTCAGGTAACAGGCAGAGTGAATTCGTTTACGCAGCAATAAGGTGAAATCACACAATCCGGAACTGCGGAATACAGAAAGCGGTATTGAAGCAACCAATCAGCGCTATTCCGCACTTTTTACGCAAGTTTTGTATGCTACGTTCACATGATATGTCAAAAATATATCTAGCATGAATATATTGGGTCATCTAAAAAGTATCCGCGGTTTTTTGTCACTAGATGTGTATTGATGGTCATATATCTAGTGGCAAAGTACCGCGGATACTTTTTAGATGACCCAATAATAAATTAAAATGACGCTCTGAGCACATTGATCGCATTGATTTAAACAGTCAATTAAAAATTTATTTATACTAGAGTCCTAGAAATCAAAGATGCGACATTGAAAGGATATGATCTGAATATCAATCATAAAACTTTGTCTCTAGGATGGAAAGTGAAAAATGAAAATTTTCTCCATTAATTTCAATGGTAAAAATTTTTATTATAAAGTTTTATGAATGATACCCAGACCATGTCCCTTCAATCGCATCTCTAGTTTCTAGGACTCTAGTATAGGTAAATTTTCACGAACTGCTCAAACTAGAGTACTGTTATATAGATATTCTTATCCGCCATTTTTAGTCTTTTCCTCACTCTTTGTCTTCGAATCTTCTTAGTTTAGCGGCGAAGTGGAGAGAGAGAGAGAGAGAGAGAGAGAGAGAGAGAGAGAGAGAGAGAGCAAGGAATTGAGGAAAGAAGCAAGAGAGTGAGAAAAGGACTAAAAAATAGCGGATGCGAATACTCATATTAAAGTGCCTTACTCAAACCGACTGTTTCAGCGACAAAAAGGATCATGTGATCCAAATAGTCACTTGATATTCGTCAATTTTGACCACGTGATACTTCTTGTCGCTGAAACAGTCGGTTTGAGCAGTTCGTGAAAATTTACCTTAACAGGTTGCTCTCTACAATGGCCACGGTTACCATGATATGAAGTGTTTCAGAAATTCTCTAGCAAGTAACCACTCAAATTGACATTACGTTACGTAGTTGCAACTAAATTCCGCTAGATGGCGCACAATCTTGAATTGAATTTGCAGTTATGTTTCCAGCATGACATAATTGGATATAACCTATCGCGATTTAAATATCGTCGCGGCTGGCTCATAAAATTTGTATAATGATATTATTTATTGTGACGTTATCAAGATTTTCTGCGATTTGACATGAGCTCCCAACAAATATTTCAGCTTTCTCATAAACTCAGAGCAACCTTTAGGTCACTGACATCCAAATTTAATGAGATTGGCATTAAAATTAGGAATTATGAAATGCCTGAGAAAGTTAAGGGCACATTTCTCGAACGCTGGGGTAAATAATATTACAAAATATATGATTGAATTATCATTCTAATTATTTAAGTAATGTGCAAATAGTTTTATTTTATTGTTTTACAGCGAAATATTGGCATGGTCTGTATATAGATTACAAGGACGTCGCGTTAGATGTAGTCAAAGATTGCACAGAGCGTCCTGTACATGCTACAATATATATTACACGTGCGTATTGTTTTTTGAATATGTCTGCAGATTATGTCACTTTCAAGATGTGATATTTATAATGTGTAATAATTATAATATATCTGTATGAGAATAATTTATATTATTACAGTTCTAGGAAGCTGCTTTTACTCTAATCGACACAATCCAGATGAAACTATGTTTAGGGAACAATTGATACAAAACAGTATAAAGTTAATGCAAGTAGGAGAACCCATACGCAATCCTGTCTCTGTACAGCACATAAAATGGTTGGAACGATGCTATAATGAAGGATTAATCAGAAGGTTAAATCTAGGAGTTTTGTCTCTGATTTGGTTGGACAATTATGACAAATATTGTTCTTCATACAAGGCTGTCTGCCCTTACTTAAAACCAAGATATGTAACTTTCTATGAAAGAATAGTGGATGTAGGCTTTCTAGGAAAGTGGTGGATATTAAATAGGAAGATGAAAGACTATGATGTAAACGAGGCTGAATTCTGTGTTGCAGAAACTGTAAATAATACAGGTACTGTTTCAGCAGCATGTTAAAATTTGATAGGAAGCAATTGTATTATTTATGTAAAAAAATATACATTTTTTAAGTTTTGAAAAACGAGTATATATATATTTGTAAATTAATAACTAGAATACAAAAGATTTTAATATAAAATCTGTCTAGTAAGTTAACTATATTTGTGAATATACAGGCACAATTGTTAGAATTGAATAAATTGAGAGATCATAATAAATCATCTCTCTTCTGTTCAGAATATATTGATTAAATTCAATAGAAAAATATTTTAAAATTTATCCAAAATATATTAATTCAATGACTTAGAATAGATCGATAAATCGATCGTCTGAGAAAACAAGTTAAATGCACCAGCATTTACTGTAATTCTTTTCTAAGAGAAATCTAGTTGTACTCACAAGATCCTTTTTCAGGATTTATATCGCAATATATCTTCTTTATAAGTTTCCTAAATGTATAGACATTCTATCGAATTGTTTTACAAAAATATATGATACCTACGTTTATTTATATTACAAGATAGATGTGATTTATCATTATATAATTTTCAAACAGTCTTCATTCACGAGACAACAGTTAACCATCTAAAATGTAATCAATTTTATTTTAATATTGCTATGAACAGTATTAATACGAAATGTATTATATCGTTGATACTTTACCAATTTTTGCGTAAACTAACGTTGTACGGCGCGGAATGTAGATCATCATTTTGTTTTGATATGCAGAAAATGATTCTGGTTGCGTAAAATGTTGCACACTCGTGTCTACGCGACATTCTCCTCCAAATTGTTCGTCGTCACTGCACAAAACGATTTTATATGTTCCTGGATTTTTTACACCGACTGGATAATCGGCGAACGATTTGACTGGATGAAAGTTAAAAACGAATGTGAGATCACTTCGGTCAAAGACGATCACTTTATCATCTTCGTGCTTCCAGCTCACATAACCCTATAAATTCAAATATCATTCTTGATTCTTTAAATTTTATTAATTCTTTATTCTCGAACATCAAAATCACTCAGATAGTGACAACACAAACTTATAAAGCTACTTACAGGATGGGCATGCAACCATCCATACTTCTCTTCGAGCATATTCACAGCGCGATCCCAATTATTCATATATTTATACTTCAGTAATTCGTCATCCACTAAATTCCACTGACGTCTGGCATAATGGTAGCTATCTGCATTTCCGATCCTCGGAAAATCTAGCCATTCAGGATGACCAAACTCATTGCCTGTAAAATATACATCAAAGTATCTCTGATTGCTTACATTTTTATTCAATCATAATTTGAATGAATTTAGATGCGTATCTCGAGATACAATTTTTCACATATAGTAAGAGATTAATCTAAAATTATTTGTTTATTCACCTATGAAGTTTAGATAAGCTTCGCCGCCCAAAGCATGCGTAATCAGCGTGATTAGATTGTGAAGAGCAATGCCACGAGATATGATTTCACTGTGTGGGCTCAAAGTGCTCATATGTGTATACATTTCCTTATCCATGAGCCAAAATGCAATCGTCTTATCACCAACGAGGGCCTGATCGTGAGACTCGGAATAAGCGACCGCTTTCTCCATCCATCTTCGATTGGAGAGTGTCCAACAAATCTCACCAACCTTCCAATCATCGTCTTTGACCTCTTTTAATAATTTAATCCATTTGTCAGGTATAGCCATGGCTAAGCGGTAGTCAAATCCCATACCACCTTCAGCGACAGGCCTGGTATTTTGCGAAATATTTATAAAATTATTTATGTAATTAATATTTTCATCTGCTTTGATTTACGAAAGTTGATATAAGTCTTGTACCTGCAAACACCTGGCATTCCACTAACATCTTCGGCAATTGTGACAATTTCGGGATATATTTCATGTAACATATGGTTAGCGAGCATTAAATATACTATGCCCTCCACATCAACATTCAAACCGTAATATTCATCATAATGACCACTGAAACCTTGTCCCAAGCCTCTTGAGTGATACAACATTGATGTGACACCATCAAATCTATCAAATTATTGCAATTTCAATAAAATATTTGTTATATTACGCATGAAAGTCACATACTTTTGTATAATTAGATCTGTTCTTATAAAAAATTAAGTACCTGAATCCATCAAAACCATATTCCTCGATGTACCAACGCAAATTGGATAATAGGAATCGAAGTACCTCGTATTCTGCGTAATTGAACAGCCTGCTGTCCCACAGCGAATGTTCGCCACGAGAACCGCTATGAAAGAAACATGCGTCTGTACCATCAAACATATTCAGTCCGTCCAAAGTATTCTTGGAAGCATGCGAATGTACCACATCCAGCAAAACATAGAGACCATGCTGATGTGCCACATCCACTAGCTCTTTTAACTCTTCTGGATTTCCATAACGAGACGAAACCGCATAGAAGGAAGTCACCTTTGATTTTAATAAAAGATATAGAGCTGACACTTGTATATATAATTATATAATTAATTTTACAATTGTGTATATAAATAATATAACCTGATATCCAAAACTAGCATAGTAAGCGTGCTCCATGATCGCCATTACTTGTATCGTGTTGTATCCTTGCTTTACAATCCGTGGTATCACATCCCTAGCAAACTCCAAGTAGGTGCCAACGCGACATTCCTGAGTACCAATTCCAATATGACATTCATAAATTCTGAGACTCTCTGGTCTCTTTGGTTTGGGATGTTTGAACTTGTATGTCTAGAAAGGAAGCATTATAAATCTCCTTGTCACATATCAGAAGCACTTCTAGTAATAATTATCCAATACATTTTCTGGATGCCATATACGTTGTTTGTAAGTAATCCCTTCAGATTTATCCGGTTTCTGTGTTACATAAGTTGCCCAGGGACTCAATCTTTCAAGAAGCTCATTATTGTGACTTTTGATAATGAGCTTTATTTCAGAGTTATGCTTCAAAGGACAACTGCCATCTGCATTCGGAGGCAGATGCAATTCCCACTTACCATATTCTAATTTTTTATATGGTGTAGCAGTTTGTTGCCAATTATCTATACAACAAAATAGTTATACTAATTAAAGATAATCTTGATTGAATATTAAATATATTAATATAATCATAAGAAAATAATATACGTACTAAACTCTCCAGTTAGAAATACTTCCTGCGCACCAGGTGCCCATTCCTTAGCAACAACACTATTGTCATCTTGGACATGAATACCAAAGTTCTTATATGCAGTAGTAAATTGCGTGAGGTCTCCATCTCCCTCTTCTATTTTTTCAACGTAATCCTTAAACAGGGCATACCTGGAAAGGTGATGTAGCGTTACCAGAATATTTTTAACGAATTAGGAGGGACGCAAAGTAGTGCAAATCAGGCATAACCTTTATATACAAAATTGCTACAAATAAAAGTACCTTCGTCGAATGTCAATCTCGTACTGCCTCAGATATGGATCCCTTTCGAGAAGAGTTTTTATCTCCGGTACCTCGACTTGTGAGGGATCCATGCTGGACCACTTGCCACCCATGTTTTTATCAGGATACCTTATGCACAATTAATGAAGTTGGTAGCGTGATCGTGGCATGGACCGGCTGAAATTTGAATGTCAAATCAATGTCACGATCCCCTCTCCGTTCAATCGGTTAGTGGAATGTAAGTGTACTGTACTTAGAACTACTGTACCTTCGAAGATGTGGAACGGAACTTAGATCGCATGGCAGCCAGATATAACAGGAAGAAAAAAAAAAGAAGATGCAACGTGGCTACCGACTTATGTAATCACGAACACGCATTAACACGCACATCGCGTGACGTCGTGAGAACGATAAGTTTTGATTTGGCAGCTTCTAATCTGCACGCTTTCCCACTCCTCCAAGCTTTGACATCATCATGTGCCGCCATGTCTATTCGCAGAATGTTTACTATTTTTAATTTACTCAGCACTCAGCAGGCGAAGCATGACGGCCCTGGCGGAACTTCAGGTTTCAGGACACTTCAAGTCTACGCTCGGCCAGGATCGGCTACACCGAACGAGTGAAACAATCACGCGTGCGATTTGCAATTGCAAATGAACTTGAAAATAATTAAAGTTGCAGCATCAAAGATTGTAGGCGATATCTTACCTATGAGATTTTATCTCGTCACATGTCGAGGAAAATTTCGTTTCATCTTTTTTGAAAAAAAGTATAAAAAATTGGGCGATTGGAGTCTTGATATGGTGATGAAATATCATCATAGATCTGTTCTTCGTAACTGCATGTTCTGTGTATTTAAAAAAATGAGGTACGCATGTATATGAAGAAAAAAGGAGAAAAAAATAAAAAAATGGTGACATACGTGCCACCTGTAAGAACCTTATATCGAATTCGGTTGAACGCACTTATAATTATAAAATATTTTATTTAACAGCACAATAAAATGATGTAGCGATTTAATTTGTTTCTATATTTATAAAATATTAAATTATTAAATGATATTAAATACACTTCTTTATATTAATTTGTGTATGACGATTTAACATGACAGATATAATATTATAGAAGCTCTCTAGTTTAATGTGCAGCAGTACGTACTTGAGTACGTCCAATTGCATTTGCTAAGCGAAAAACTGGCTGTTTGCCAAATGGTGAACGTTTTAAATAAGTAGTGTGTTATTGAGTGTCTAATACTATTTTTTTTATATGCATCGAAAGGGAGACAAAAAGCAAAGAAGCAAAAACAAGCATCCGAGAATCAGTAAAGAAATTTTATTGGAGATACACGAAGACGAGTACGAGTCCAGTATTACGTAAGAATAATACTGACAATTCGTGAATACTCATGCGTAAGTACACAACGTACAATTTACGTAAATTTATTCATTGATATATATTTATACAAATGCAAAAATTACTCGTTTCAATAGCTCAAGCGATATATAGACATCGTGGAATACATTAATTGTGATGCGCTCAAGCTAAATTATATCGTCGCAATTTGTGAATTATGATTTATGCGCTGACCTACAGTTTAATTCCGCATCAAGAGATAGAATAGGAAAGAATTGTATGTAATTAATAGAAATTTATTAATTGAATTGCTTTTATATTTATGAATCACTAAGTAATGCTCACAAAGTATAAGAAAATAAATAAATACAGTTTTCAAAGTATTTACGCGATATTAGACTCTGAAAGACCCGACGGTGGTCAGATACCGAGTGTCTTGGCGGCTTTGGTCCATTCTTATCTTAACTAAGCATTAAGAATTCGTTCAAAAAAAAAATATATATATACTTATAATTAATTCTTAAATAAGGTGGAGTTAGAATTAACAGAACGAATTGTTGATATTTCAAGATTTATCCTCTCTTGTTTTTTTTTCTTTCGTTGTTCTTTATATATGTATATAATGCATTCCTATATATAAATGCAAATATATTTAAAATTTGAGAGGATCACAAGCAAATATTTGTGACAAAGCATTGAACTGTTTTAAGAGAAACACTTATGAAAGGGAAATAGGAGGAAAGTATACATTTTAAATTTTATTAGAGAGATTAAATAGGTATGTTAACGTTAGCATCTTGGATTACAAGATTAAAGTCATATTCAAGATTTCATTTTACTTGTAGGAAGAAAGATTAGCCCTGGCTAAATGTCCGGATGAATTTTTTTTTACCTTGGAATCAATCTTTAATATAGTGACCTATGTGGCATGCGTCTTGTTAGTGGGCTTTTGGTTTCGAATTTGATTTGTTAGTGTAATTTACGGTACTGTTTATGGGAGTATTATTGACCGAAGTATTATTGTCAGATACTTCGTCGCTGCTATTACTGCGAATATCACCTTCCATCTGTAATAGTTTTTCCAGAAGAAAAGATTAGCATATAGATGTGTGTTCATTAATATCAAAAAAATGTCCCAATGAACGTGCACGCGACAATTTATATAAATCAGCAGCACATACCTGACCAGCATTGAAAGCACGGTATGCAATCTGAATGATTAAATAAGTCCAAATTGCGTGGAGAAACAGTAGTAAAACTAATAAAGAATTAAAGATATAATACGCGAAGAACATCGGTACTATCTTAGGCGCCTCTATAGATGTACTGTAACATACAATAGATTGGCATCAGTATCAAATAACCTGCACATTTAATCGCTCAAAATCTAAATATACTAATACGTACTTATAAATTATCCAAAATGGGTACACACCCATACGCGTTACAACCCAGAGAATTGTAAACGCAGCAAATATACAGTCACAAAGTCTTTGATAATTTGCATATTTGGTCATTTTTGCAGCCTGCGAATTAAAAATAATGGATATAAATTAAAATATAGAATATAATTTTTCTCTTTCGAGCATTCTTACCTCCAAAAGTATATCCGCAGAATCATGCACAAGCAAGACCAGACTACCGATCCTCGTTAGATTTCCAACCCATGAAAAACACATAAGTGCAATTGTAGCTATGTGATGAATAAACATCTGCCAAAAATCTTTCCTTTTTACATCAAAGAATTGAGAAAAGCTTAATGCCCAGTAAAATGACATTGATATCATATAATACCACCACACATCATTGGTAACGGGATGATAAGGATAATTGTAAAAACAATACTTTATGTCCCAAAGCCACGGTTTATCCCACAGGATAACAAGGCCGTAGAAGAATGCATATGTATAATAAAAACATCTCCAACTGAAAAGAAATCATATATGTGTATGATGATTTATCAATGTAATATTTATACACGATACGAAATAGTGAAAGTTAAGACGATGACTAACCAACTTTCGCAGAACTTTGTAAGAGTAGATGGCTTGTCCTGAGAACGACGCAGCCGAAGCCACCTCTCTACTTGCCTTTCAGACCAATCTAATTGTTTAGCCAATGCCAAAATCTTAAAACATAGAGTTATGCGTTACAAAGTGTTTATGTAGCAAATGGTAGATGTACATGAAAACATATATATCAATTAGCACTATTTATACTATTTTTAACATTCCTGATATTTCTTAACACGCTGAATGCCACGTTGATATTACATGCCCAAGGCGCCAACATGAATCTGCTATCATGTGATACATATTGTGTTAAAATTTAGAAATATTGATATTATTTGAATTATTTGTTTCTATTAATTTTGATATTGCCGGTCAACGGTGCCTCCCATGGCACTACCGACAAACTGAGTGTTGGTCACCAGTGATCCTCATGGCATTCAATGTGTTAATATATGAATAAAAAAATTTTCTTTGTATAAACATTCAATTATTATTAATGGTTATACATTGATCATAGATCATAGGTCATATGAATCATTAATTATATATATTTAGTATTAAATTTTTTTACATTACAATGTGGTACAAAGGGCAAAGAGCCAGTAGCAAAGAACTTTAATTTAAATTAACATTAAAAATTCATTACAATTACAATTGACAAAAACAACGTTTCGACTCCGATCAAGTCATTTTCAATGTAATCGTAATATTTAAACATCGTTCTAAACCAAAAATATATACATGGTATTACAAAACTATAATTTTTATAATTTTTAATCCCGTATTCTTCATTCAACGTGTAGTACGTTGCGAGTCATTTTTATCAAAAATCAAAGTAATCATAAAACAATATTCTTGTCAGTTATATCAGTAAATGTGTTGAGAGTTTATTAATAAAAAGAGAAGAAAATGCAGATGGTAATCCATATCGAAACCATTTCGTTATCTGACATCATGAAAATTAGATGTTCGTTACTTTTGCAAATTTGCTTAAAATAATAAAAAAAACCGATATATTGTACCACGATATGGATTACCATCTACCTGCATTTTCTTCTCTCTTTTTATTAATGGACTCTCAACACATTTACTGATATTACTAACAAGAATATTGTTTTATGACTACTTTAATTTTTGATAAAAATAAATTGATGAAAAAGAACGTTTGTTTTTGTCAATTGTAATTGTTTATATGAATTTTTAATGTTAATTTAAATTAAAGTTCTTTGCTACATTACTAGCCCTTTGCTCTTCTTTTGTACCACATTGTTTTATATTTACAAAGTCTTATTACTATTTATTAATTTTTTACATTAATCACTCACCTGTTTATATTTGGTTTTTTTACTAAGATACGCTTTTTCTAATATCTCATTAGATACTGCCTTTTTGCTCCTGGTATTTTTTATAGAAAGCGATTTTCCAAAGGGAGCAAACCAATACCTATTTAAACATTGAAATTATATATACATGCGTTACTTTAAAGATTCATATAAATCTTTTATCATGTATTAGATATTACATTTTGCAATTTCATTGATGTAATCGTTTCAATAGCAATGTACATGAATCTAATTTTTTTGAAAATAAAACATTAAAAGTAAGGAAAAAGCCTTATTCGAGATCTGAGCTAGATTTTACAATTAGTTTAATATTTCAATCTGATTTATATATACATATCCAGTCTTGTAACTATGCGCCAATATAATCGTTTAGTTTTCATATCCTCAACAAATGTTTTCTTAATAAGTATCATAATAGATACCACGATAAATGTCATCATGTTATTAATCCTATATTAATATTACAGGAGATTCAGAATTTCATTGAAACTCAGGTTGAATATTTTTTGCATTTTAAGATGTTTATTAACATCAATATCATTAAATTGCTTGTCAATTCAATTTGTGATATTATCCTATCCTAATTTCAGTTTAGAATTTCAAGAGCGAAAATAAAATCGGTGTGCCGTTTACGAAACTGAATGTAGACACTGAAAAAAATGATGTTGCATCAACAGCATTATCTTAATTAAAAATAATTTTGTTAATACAATAATATAAAAAAATTAATAAAACAAATATTGACACTTTTGTTTCAATAAAATTTTATTTGTTTCATTGACGCTGTTGTTATGTAAATCAACAAGATTATTTTCAATTAAAATAATGCTGTTAAAACAAGATTTTTTTCAGTGTAATAATTTCTTAATGCTTAATATTATACAGTAATTCGAAATTCGGAGTACAGGACATGATACTTTATGCTAAAACAATTTTTTCCTTTAGCAAAATTGCGTCCAATAAATAATTTTTGCAGGAGAGCAGATTAAAGTTAACAAATAAGCGCAAAAATTATTTATTGAAATCATCATATCGATGTCAACATCAATTCGATGACTCATTTCTCGCTCGATAATATTTACTTTTTAAAAATAAAGTTCTTTTAAAAAATATTTTCTTTGTATGAATACATTTTGCTCTCACTGTATATATACACAAATTTGTATCAAAATTGTATTATTAAGCACTAAGATCTAACTTAGACTGATTAATTTTCCTTATTCAATATCGGTCTGCTATCACACTCAGTATTTATTTAAAGCATATTTTGAGATAAGCTATAAAATTTATTTATGTAACCAATAAAGGGAAAATATCTAGCTTACCTTTCAAAAGTATATCTTACTCCTAGAAGAACAATTGCCATAGGCAGCGGATATATTAAATGCTGATAATTAGCATATTTATTGTCTGCATTTGGACTGATATCCTCCCATGTAATGTTAGGAGGTAACCAAATGTGTGGTGACCAAAAGGTGGCCGATATATTTAGGAAAATATTCATTTCTCTGTATTCTGCAAATAAATATTCTTGATAAGGAAAAACGTCTAAGAACAGGATTGATAGAAACTACAACTCTAATAACATATAAATAATATGTTATTTTTATATTAATAATTACAGAAGACTTATCAACAAGTAAGAATGCTCAACAACACAAAGGAAAAGTTAAAAAAAATTATAGTATCAAGTTTTAATTAAACATTAATCATTCATACTATCATTGCTGTACTAACACAATTAACTCAAGGAGTAGAAAGAAAAGACACGTACATATGAATAGCAAAGAAAGAGAGAGAGCGAGAGAGAGAGAAAAGACATGAGATGGATTTCGATAAGAAAAGAGACACACGCACGTACTTCACGTACTTACCCGGAACAACTGTGGCCGCATCAGCTTCGGCATGTACGGCGCGATCTGAGACGTGCTACCGGGCGGACGAAAGTGTCGAGAGTAGTGACTGTAGTGAGACGAAAACACGCGTGTTCGTACTGCTCGTACTGCTCGTGCCACGGGCTGCGTCGTTTTGGCTGTTTCCTGTAGAGTCAAGAATGTAGAACTAACCGCTAGCGCGCGCGTGCGCTATTGGAATTAGTCGGAATGCCGTTCCGATTATCGCCTGAATGAGAAGGGCGACGACGACGATAAGGCGACCTCATCAACGTCTTACAATAATGGCAGTTAAAACCGGCAAAGTCGTGTATGTTTCGTAAGTGCTGGATCTAAGTCTTGCTATCATTACGACTTGCTGCTATCAGTATTTCACTATTAAAAGGAGCAGTTATAATTAATATTACTCAAGATAATAAATGAATGAACCTATTATTTGGCCGCGTGACTATTTCTGCTCGCTCTGCTAGTCACGTCACACCACGCAACACCGGCCAACACACACTGTCACCGGCGCCGCACGAGTAACGAGAGACGAAACACTTGTAATTAACTTTACCGCACGATTCCGCAGTTGTGTACGGTATTCGGCGGTGCGTGGCGTGGCGTGAGTTCCGACGAGATTCGAGAGGCGTGCACCCGGCAAAAACGGGCACGTCCGATCGTTTCCGATCTCGTCAGTCGCGACTTGTAGGAATAGTGGGAATTCTCCCTCTCTCTTTTTCCTATTGTCCGTCCCGTGTTTTTTTCTTTACATAAATGTCTCCATGGAATCAGCAACTGTGTCAATAACGCTCTGTTACTCTTCCTCGGGTACTTCAGCCTTCAGATTTATTTGACAATTCGGTATTAGCTCCAGTGTTGTTTCATTGGAAGGTTTTAAGTTTTAGGAACCATCGAAAGATCGAAGGAAGGTTTATTTTTTGAAAATGAATGAAAATGGAAGGTTTTTTAATAATGCAAACTACAAAATACATATACTCTATTCGGAGAGGAAATTATTAATTTGCGTTTCAAAACTTTGTTTGAGTAATTATAATACGGTGTAATCTACAATAATTAAGTCGTAGTGATTGTAGGATTCCAAATCGTAGAAAATTGACCAATTATAGTCAATTATTCTTCTCTTCTCATTACTTATTATTCTCAATTATTCAATTATGATTGGTTAATTTTCTACGACCTAAGACCCTACGATCATTACTTCTATTGTAGGACCGCATTAAATCTAAATATTTAATTGCAGAAAACAAAAGATATAATTTTCTCTCTCAATCTCACAGGTGAGGCATTTCATGTCAAATCCTTAAAACGGAATCATTACAATTTTTTTTTAATTTGCTGACATTCTACAGATAAAAAATATGAGACACGTATTTCGTGAAAAAAATTCGAAATTTTTTTCGTGAAGTTATTTACGCTTGCAAGTTGCAGAAATTCATAAAAAACGTCGCTCATGCAGACATTCAAATTATTATTATATCGTTGAAATTTTACATTAGTGTATAATTAAAAAATTCTGTTGTGTGACGGCGCGGTTCTGCATACATGAAAGTGGGAATATATGATATTTTTACAAAATTTTTAAATTGGTGAGTTGGAAAATGTCAAAGTAACGTTGGTGCAACCGGGCCTCAGTGATCTGATGAAACAACACTGATTAGCTCTATTTTTGTTAGCTCAACTTTCCATAATTTCACTATGTCTATGTACCATTATTATTATTATGTGATTATCTAAACTATAAATTACACACAGTCACTGCCATGGAAGGGGAGGAGAAAAGCTGTCGAGGTTACCGGTGACTCATCGGACGACCACGACATGATTATAAATCATACGATTAATCGATGAATAATAACGTTTGAAGATTTACTCTTTCGATTTCACAGGCTTTACTCTATGAGTATGATTGTTTATCGTTGTATCGCTATGTTGACGAAACGCATTTGTGGAATGATTTTTCGTGAAAATTACCAAACGTACGAACTTGAAACGATATAAATACGAATGGCGGCCGGAATCTCTACTCTAAAAGGCACTCTAGAAAAGCAGATCGTTATGACTGATTTAGAACGCTATTGGTCATTGGACTTCTCGATAGATGGTCACGGCGACCAATAGCAGCTTACCTCAACGCGGCCGTAAACCCCCAGATAATACCCCCAGATAAAACTCAATATTGAGAGATAAGACGTTTTCTAGAATGCCAAAAATGTCTCATATTTTGATTTTGGATACTTTGTCTGAATCATTACAAACAGCTATTTCATTAGGTTATATTTTTTTCTGTTTATCTCTTCAGAATATACTACTATAATATAGGAGCTATTTTTATTTCCGTGCATATATTTTTGCAAATTTCTTTCATCACTGCTTCACTTTGAAATTTAAATTGTTATATCCAAACTAAAGACATTGTTCGATAATATTATCAGAAAGTTTCTCTCTCTCTCTCTCTCTCTCTCTCTCTCTCTCTCTCTCTTATAATGTGTTATGCAGATAAAAGACTTGTCCATAGGAATTATAATAAATAGCTGTTATATTACTGGATTTTGAAAAAAATTGAGCTATGTTCAGATTTCCGAATGCCATATATTATTTTATCCATTTACTTAATGTTAAACAAGGATAAATTGAATTAAGAGAAATAATGTTATTTTCGATCAAAGCGAATCTTAGTGTTTAAATATTCAGTATGAATTATTTACATATAATTATTTTTTGCAATAAATTATTTCGCAGTTTTTAAGATGCTTTTAATTAAATATTAATATTAAATTAACATCTTTCTAAGATACTTTTAATTATAAACAAAGCATAGCGTTTATGTTTTTTAAATTAAAATTTTAAGAACTTCGATCACACAAAATATTTATTATATTCAATTTTGTAAACCACGCGCCAAAATTTTTTGAACGCTATCATGAATTGAACTTAGAGTAGTATAATATGATAATCTCACATATTAAATTGACACGCAAAATTTAATACTATTAGGTGTTGGAATTAATTCGTAGCGTTTTTTAATGAAAGAATGTTATTTATTTCACATGAGCATTAAAAAATACATTAATGAAAGTACTTCCCATCACTTGTAAAACGCTACGAATTAATTCCAACACCTAATAATATTAATAAACGTATCTTGTACTTTGTGATTAAATTATCTTGCAATAAAGTTAATCAAATTTTTATCGAAATTTTTCAAATTTTAATTAAACGCTAAGGCTGTGCTTTGTTTAATTAAAAACATTTTAGAAAAATATTAATAATTTGATGCTGATGTAAGTATTTTAAAAATTGTAAATAATTTATTGCGAAAAATAAATAATAAAATGATAACTGGGGAGCATTTAGGTGGACAACTGGTGAGATAATTAAATTTTAATTGATTTAAATTAATCGGCGAATTTTAGGACAATACCTGATAAATTAATTAAAATTAAAAAATTATAATTATCTCTGTCAAAATAATGACGTAGACAATTAAAATTAATTTATCAAGTATTGTTATAATTTTTTGTTAAAAATATTTAGAACAAGATTAGATTAAGAACGATAAATCATATAAAAAAGTAATTGTGTCTGTTATCAAGATCTGTTATCTATTTTACACTATTCTGTTAACATGATTAAAATTATTGTTTTCTTGTTGCCTTATATATAGACAAAACTAGGAACAAAGAATATATAATTAACAATTTATTTTAAGCAATTCTGATTAAATTAACCACTGATTAACTTAATCAGCGATTAATTTATTGAAAAATATCTATAAAATTTTATTAAAATGGATAGAATTATTAATTCGAATGTGAGAAGAAATATTAGATTAAGATAAACGAATTATACAATTAGAATTTTTGGTATAAGCGTCTCTTATATTAACTAAATTAATTAACCATTGATAAAGTTAATCAAATTTTGATCGAAGTTCTTAATATTTAATTTAAAAACCATGAAGGTTTTGTTTAATTAGAAGGAAAAATTATAAGAAATATGCTTTGTTTTAAGAAAAAAAATCTTCATTTTTTTCAGTAAAAAAAGCCTTTATTTTTGTTGTGAAAAAGCAATCGATGTCAACTCGCAGCCATTCCTAAGTCTAATATAAAATTCGACGTCACCGAAAAATATTTTTCTATTGTATACGGATACAGGCACCGTACGTGTCTCTCTTTATCTCTTCTTTTTTCAAGAAAGCTAATTATCTCGCCGAGATCTTGCGGCGGATATATATCAGTGCGCGCACCTACGATTGATCGGATATCGCTTGATTAGACGCTTTATCACACGTTGATAAATCCTCGCATTTCTTCTTTCATGTGACCGGAAGAACTCCTGTGTGGCTGTATTGATTTTGCGTGCTTTTCGTTTGATTCCCGGAGTATGTACTAAAAAGGCACCATCGAGCACGACCAGATGATAATTCAAAAGACACATCTCGAACATCTATATGAAATAAGAAATAGAGACTTTAAAAGGTATAGGATCTTGCAAGTAAGATATTAATAGTGAAAAGTTACGTTAATCTTATAATTATTATACTTCAGGTAAATCTATTTCCTATACAGCATAAAACTTGCAGCAATATTAATTGCTGCAATGTTACTGCAATATTATTGGAATGACTGTGTATTTTTGCTGTATTTTTTATGCTCATTTTCATCTCAATATAGATTTATTTTAATCGTGGTTTAACTAATTCTTAATTTTTTCTAATTCTTAGAATTAGAAAAAGATGAAGATTGGAATTAATTAAGATTGGAATTTAGATTAGATAAGTTAATCTACATTGGAAACGCGTATTAGAGAATAATGCGAATAAACTTTTGCAATTATTAAAGATAATTCTCTAAAGGAAATTGTTTTACCTGGGTCATCTTGTCTTGCTTGCCTTCCCAGGACATTTCCTCTGTGTAGAGCGGGTGTGCAAATGAAGAACGGTTCCCATCTGTAATGCGGATATTCCCTTCTGGTAACGATAAGCGGTCGGATTCTACCCGGGTCCGGTCTAATCAACCACCTGGTCAGTCCAGGAAATCGCTGGCAGTGTGGACAGACAAACCTGCGAGAGGCATCTTGTCCCGTTATTGAACATACATTGCAGTTTCAATATGAATACTTTATTCAATTCTTACGAGACATGAGAGAAAGTTGATTTAGTTGACGCGTGTCAAATTTAGAACATTCGAAACATGGGAGACATAAATCCTGTATACATATATATATATATATATATATATATATATATA